CAGAATTATAAAAAAATTAGGATTATTATTCAGTTGTCCTTTCCATTCGTTGAGCCTTCTACTCTCTCTCTTTCTCCTTTACTTTCTCTTACATTCTGGCATTGATATTTTGTACAATTACTTTTTATCATTTCTAGATGTCTCGTATGAATTGGGATAATGATCGATTGGAAGATCGTCTTGCCAAATGTAGTAAAGATGCAACAAAACTAGCTATGGAACAATTACATGCTTTAACTGGTCAATTAATTAAAGATAGTCTATTTAATAAATTTTAAACTGTTATTTTTGTTGTTGATGTTGTTGTTGTTGTTATTATCATTCTTCACATCCTAATTTTTCTAGTACATTGTACATTATTGTGAATGATTGTATTTTATTTGTCAACAGTTTATGATTTCAAATGACTTTTGAATGAAAACATGTAATTAAATTTTCATGCATGATAATGTGATGATTATGGTTGATTAAATATGCTTGAACTAAACTGTTTATTTGTAATAACTAGTTATTAAATCTACACCGGTTGATCATTGATTATCAAGCAATGTGATATGGTCTAATTCTCTGTGCTCTGTCCAGATTTTATAGATGATATTTCAGTTTTTCCCACTAGTTTAAGTGAATCAGCATACTGAAGCACTAAACTGACATTTCGTGTTAGTGTTAATACTTGTCGCCAAGATTTGTCTGTAATTTCAAGGGGGCTGGTCATCTCCAGTGTGATTTACACATCGTTTACTTATTATTACCGAAAAATTACTATTCATACCATACATAACCCAGCAAGATGTTGTGTAAAAGAGAAAAGTTTCCACACTGGAACTTGACTGGTACGAATCCATCAGCGTTGTTTATTGCACGGCCACTACTCAGCGATCATTTAATTTTAAGATATCTATCTTACCGATCAATCACAGTGGGGGCATGTTAGTTGAGATGTTTTTGTATGTTAGTTACTTCCAAACAACTTAAGGTCATCTTATATTCATTCTTCTTGTCATCATTAATCTTTATTGTTAGACTTAAATAGGTTTTTCTTCTCTTCACTGCGTAACTATCATCTATCAATTAAGGGACGAGTATACTGCGCGGCAGTTCGTTCTATTTTACTTTACGGCTGCGAAACTTTTCCATTAAGAGTTGAAGATACTCGTAAGCTACTAGTATTTGACCGTAGATGCCTTAGAATTATTTCTTGCATCTGCTGGGATCATCGGGTAAGTAATACCGGGGTTAGACTCAGGGTATTAGGTAATGATGGTAAATCAGTTGATGAGGTGAATCTTCATCGACTGTGTTACGTATGCCTGAACATCGATTACCACGACACGCAATGCTGACTAGTTTCGGGAATGGTTGGAAGAATGTTAGGGGAGGCCAAACCAAAACGTGGCATCAGTCCTTGAAGTCACTTACATGTAGTCTTAACCATGCTGGGAGATGTAGACTGCTTGGTTGGGGTCTGCACGACTATCGTAACCAATGGTTGGAGAATCGGAGTGACATAGCTCAGGATCGATCGCAATGGCGTAGGTGTATACACTCTTTGTCTATTATAATTACTGAATGACATGAATTCATTTGTTTCATGGATTCGCCTCAGTTGTTTACAATCTAAAATATTTCCGACATGAACTATGTACACACTTGTTTCATTTTAATGATCAATAAAATCGTTTTATTTTGTAAGCAGATGAGGAGAATCTGCAAAATCAATGAATTCATGTTATTCTATTACGTTTTTTTTTAATTTTTGTTCTTTATTTATTTATGCTATAATTGTGAAGAAGATACTACTTGTTCTACAGAATCTGACTGATATGGTTCTATACAACAAAAAAGAGAAGAATACAAGATAGGAGATAAAGATATATTTATGAATCGAACATTGATTTACACAAGATCAATACAATATTGAAATATGAAATGAATATATACTATTTTTAAGTGTCCAGTTAATAGACAAATGTGAAAGTAATACACTGACAATCAGAGTTGGCATTACTTTGTCAGTAAGTTAATGTAGATATACCAATTGCAACATCAATAGATCTACTGCTTCAACTAACACGTAAAACAAAATACTACGTTATACATATATTACTGTTTAATAAGATAATACTCGGTATCAAGACTTTAAACAATGAATAGATTCGTTCATATTGTGTACGAGCTACATTCTATTGTAATTATGATATCTCTAAAATCAATTTTCATTACTGACTGAAATCCGTTCAACAATCATGTAAAACTAGAAAACATCTACTTAGTTTTTACCCTTGAACAGTGTTCAGTTATGCTGATTCAAACTGTCGTAAAATTCCTCTTCAAAAAATAAAGGCTTTAAATTAGACAGAACTTTTGCAAAACCATCTAATTTGATAGTGAAACTTTCATCATAAATAAGCCCTTTCGATACTTGATTTAAAACTTCTATGTTCCTATGATGAGAAGATACTCAATATCATACTGAATTCCTATGATGGATTAAACTGCAAAGTCGTGCATGGAGGACAACTGACAGACTCGTTCGATGTAAAGACTGGTGTAAGACAATTGATTGATCACTGGGTGGCGATCAGTGTCATGCGTGTCTAGTCCTTATTAGTGCGGATCGAGTGCTATCGATCATGTCGCAATGTGGCCACCAGCCTAGGTGACTCGATACTGTGTGCATTATTGTGAGATTAGATGGTGGTCGGAGGTAGTCGACAGGAAACCCTGGACTCAGCTTTCGTGCTACTTGGCACTCGTCAGCAAGGTGTGCCTGTAATCTTGAGCGAACTGGTGCTCCGTGGTGAATTCGGTCTCGTGTCACCCAGCTTCACAGTCAGAGGCGTTACCACTGAGCTATCCGAGCGGCAACCGATCTCCTGTAGGACTGAGATGTAATTACAACTGATTGATCACTGGGTGGTGATCAATGTCATGCGTGTCTAGTCCTTATTAGTGCAGATCGAATGCTATCGACTGGTGTAAGACAAGGTTGCTTACCCTCACTCATTCTTCTGGTGATCGACTGGATCATGAAGACGTCAACATCTGGGTGAAAGCACCGGATACAGTGGACATCTAGGATGTAGTTGGACGATCTGGCTCTTCTATCGCACACTTGCAACAACAAATCCAGGAGAACACGACCAGTGTGGCAGCAGCCTCACAACAGGAGTTCTCAACACACACAAAGAGAAATGCAAGATTCTCCAATACAAAACAGCATGCACCAATTGACTAACACTTGACGGAGAAGCTTTGGAAGATGTAAACACATTTGCATATCTGGGCAGCATCACTGATGAACACGGTGGATCTGATGCAGATGTGAAGGCGTGGATCGGAAAAGCAAGAGCAGCATATTTACAACTGAAGAACATCTGGAACTCAAAACATCTGTCTGTCAACCAACACCAAGATCAAGATTTTCAATACAAATGTCAAGACAGTTCTACTATATGTGGCGGAAACCTGGAGAACTACGAAAGCCATCATCCAGAAGATACAAGTGTTTATTAACAGTTGCCTACGCAAAATACTTCAGATCCGTTGGCCAAACATCAAGAACAACCTACTATGGGAGAGAATAAACGAGATCCCAGTGGAAGAAGCGATGGAAGTGAATAGGACACAGATTGAAGAAAGCACCCAACTGCATCAGAAGGCAAGCCCTCACATGGAATCTTCGGGGGCAAAGGAGGAAAGGAAGACCAAAGAACACATTACACCGTGGGACGGAGATAGACATGAGAAGAATGAACAATAATTGTATAGAACTAGAGATGAAAGCCGAGGACGGAGTAGGTTAGAGAATGCTGATCGGCAGACTGCTCCATTGGTGGTGACAGACGTAAGTAAGTAATATCCCTATGGTCTAGTAGTTGCGTACGTAATATAATTAAGAAAACTATCGATCTATAATATAAATTATCTTTAATATACACAATGAATTCATGTATTTTTGTTTGTTTAATTTTTTTCTCCTTCAAATCATAGTACCACTTACTATGATTTCAAATTAATAATTTTTGTTTTAATGAATGTTATAACACCCACCCAGTGTCTATTATTCCACAGGACTTCAGCACAACTCAAGAACGCGTGATTAGTCCGAGTAGAAGGTAAATATATATTTCCACACCAAAACCCGAAACAATCCAACAACAATGAACAATCAATAATAATAAGGATAAGAGAATATATAACTCATCTAACACCTGTCAAACTATCTACATGTCTGACTAAGCAAACAACCAATCATAATCATTTTATTGCTCCTAAATGCCCTGGTAGAGCCGAGAGTGGGGAGAATCAGCTCTTCCTCTCTAAATGCTCTCACATGACCACGCGTATATACCTTCTGTCAGGGAAGTCCTATTCACTACCTTCTCGTGACGGGGGTATTGTCTACGAAGTTGAGAGGAAGAAAAACCAATATCCAGCGCTTTAATCGAGTTGGTGGACATAAAGAGTTCACCTAGATGAGTTGGAAAACCCTGATTCCAAATCAATGGATTCCAGTATCCTGAAGGGAAAAATAGCGTATGAACCAATCGTTGATTATCGGCTACCATAGGACTGTATCTCCTTACGATGCCCCATTGCTTTGTGGATTAGACCTTTAGATCAAAGGCTCCAGGTGTGCACCCCCCCCCCGAAAAAAACCCCACCTACTTCGGTTTGGGCACCTGGGAATTATTACAACTCTCATACAAATCAAATGAGATTTATGTGGGGGGCATCAAATAAATATGCCCCCCCCCGCTTGTGTTCAAATAACTAATCATTCTCACCTATATATCATTGAAAAATTTCAATTATTTATTTATTTATTTGGTAATATATTCCATAATTTTAATTTATTTGGTAAATATTCATTAGTTAAATAAGTTGAATGAATTGTATTTAATATTTCTAATTCAGCTTTCATTTCTGTCAATAATAAATAATTTATCTATCAATAAATTATAATTATCTAATCTATTTTAATGAATTTACTTGTTCTAATAAAATGGATTCTTGTTGAATATATAAACGTTTTTCATTGAATTTAATAATGATTTATCTCTTTTTGTTAATTTCAATAAATCAATTTCTTTGATTTGAAGACTGATAATTAATTGAATAATTTGTTAATGGATATATATAAAACTTACGATGATAATTCACTGGGTAATAGTCCACATAGTTGAAGATTGGATATTTTTATTGGACTACCATTTTCATTTTGCATCATAGGATTCTAAATTGAATTTTTTTTAAAGAAAAACAAATCTCTGTGATTTATTTGATAAAATATTATGATTTAAAGTTATTAAACTAATTACTTGAATGTGTCGACCGCTTCACTTATCTTGGAAGTCTCATCAGCCCTTGTGGTCTGGTGTGAGACGAAATCTCAGCATGGATACAGAAGGCTCGACTAGCTTTTACCAACTTGCGTCATTTATGGCGTAGGCGAGATATCCATCTATCAACCAAAGGACGGGTTTATTGCGTAGCAGTTCGTTCCGTCCTAATTTATGGTAGTGAAACATGGCCGGTAGGAGTAGAGGATATTTGTGGGTTACTAGTATTTGATCATAGGTATCTTCGAAATATTGCTCGTATATCCTGGGACCATCGAGTAAGTAATGCAGTTGTTAGGAAACGGGTACTAGATAAGGATGGCAAATCAATTTATGAAGTAGTGAAACTTCATCAGTTGAGATGGCTGGAACACCGACTGCCCCGACGAGCGATGTTTTTTGGTATAGGAGTAGGTTGGAAGAAAGCTAGGGGCAGCCAGAACAAAACACGGCACAAGTCCATGAAGTCACTGAAAAGTGGACTCAGCTATGTTGGTAGGCGTAGACTACCTGGTTGGGCACCGCGAGATGATAACAACCGATGGTTAGAGACCCTGAATGACATGGCTCTAAATCACTTGTAATGGCGCAGGTGCATCCACTATATATATATATATATATATATATATATACTTCTATGCAGTCTGTCACGCTCAACACATCAATCAACATTTAAGGAATAATAGTTTCATGCTTACCGTAGTGCCGTACTTGTAAGTACAGAATACATTTATACCTATAAAGTAAGAGATATTACATCGTTTTATTTGCTATACCATGAGGATCAGCATCAAAAAGTCCAATCATTGGAATATTTGGATGGATGCAGTTTATTTGAGCAAGAAATTGGCGAGTTATCAAGTCTGGATAACCTTTAGCCTATTTTAAATAACAATTATTAATACCAGTAAAAATGAATTATTTAGCTTACCGTAACCAATAAACAAGGTTTGAATTTTTCATAGAACTTCTCACTTAAAAGTTTCCGAAAAATCGTATCTTTCTCAATTATCAAAATAAATTGAGGCAAACATTCTGTATATCCGGTTGACAGGCAAATAGATGAATTAGAATAGTAATCTACCTGACATAATAACCTCATATCCACTTTTAAACAAACTTTCAGGTATACCCTGCAAATAAAAAGAAACGAATCATGAAGATCACTTCTTGTTAACAAGTCATATGTTATTTCGAGTTACAAAGGTTCCCAAAGACACCTAACCAATTAGTTAGTCCTGAGACGAAATCTCGTAAGGTAATTACTTATTATCAGATCCGAATACATCACACTTCGCTACAGCTGTAATCTATAATATCCGAAAAATTTGAGAGCTGATATCTGTTCTGTAAGTAATATGTCTGTTAATTGTTAAGTGGTTGTCTTCACTTACATTTGTTGGTGTGTATGGGATAGAGGGGTTAGGTCATCTGCGAAGTCCAAATCCTCTAGTCACAACCAAGTTGTCCTCTGTATTTTTCACGCTTGCTCTGATCTCCTTTCTTTGATATCTTGATGAGGTATCTTTCTTTTTAGTTTGTCGATAGCACTTGTTTCTCCTTCCAAATCTTCTTGAATAGAATGTGAAGCATATTTGCAAATACTTTTGTATCTGACTTCAGCTGGTATATTGTCAGGTCCTTCTGTTCTTCGACTCATTATTTGCCTGATGACCGCAAGTGATTTCTTCGATCGTTGATGGAGTGACATCTATAGGAAAGTCTGTAGTTGCTGCTTCGATGTTTGGCGGATTCAGTGGAGCTGTCCTACTCAACAGTCCTTCAAAGTTTTCCACCTATCTGTTCCTCTGTTCTCGAATCTCGGTGGCTGTCTTGTTTTCTTTGTCCTTGACCGGTCTCTCTGGTTTAATATGTTTCCCTACCAATTTCTTTGTCGTGTCATATATTTGTTTGAAATTTCCTCCCGTTCCAGCTATTTCCACCGTCGCTGCAAGTTCTTCCACGCATTCGTACCTTTTAACTCTAGTGCTCCTTTTCACTTGTTTGTTCACTTCTGTTTATTCAGCTTGTGCTTTGAATTTCTCTGTTCCTTTTCAGCTGTTGTTGATTGCTGTCTTCTTGTTCTTCTCTTAAATCTTTTCTAGGGTTTCCATTGGCATCCATTTCTCCTGATGATGCTTCTTGCGGTCCAGTACCTCCTGTCACGTTGAAGTTAGTAATTCTTTGATCGCTTTCCAGTGGCCTACATAGTAGTTTCTTTTTCTTTGAGTAGATCTTTTAACGCTTAGAACTTGTTGTTGAGTTATCTTGAATTGAATGAGTTCGTCAGCATGTCGAAGGAAGGCTATGTTGAACCTTTGTAATGGTGTTTGTGCAGTTGTCCGGTATTTCTTTAGCTTCAGTTCCGTCTTGACAACCACCAGGTAGATAGTGATCTGAAGCTATGTCAGATCCTCTCCTGGTTCTTACGTCTTCCACTGACCTTCTGAATTTTTTACTGATCGATCTGGTTCTCCGTGGTGTGGTCCAGTTAGACCCATGTAGTATTGTTTATGCGTTTGTGTGGGAATATTGTGCAACCTATAACCATTTTGTTGAATGCGCATAAATTTGCGAATCTCTAACCATTCTCGTTGCTTTCTCCCAGTCAGTCCATGTCGTCTCATGATATCTTCATACCCGGTGTTATCCATCCCGACTTTTGCGTTTAGGTCTCCTATCCGGATTGTTAAGTCCTTTCCTGAGCACTTCGCTATGATCGATTGCAGCCTCTCTTGTAACTGACCTTTATCGTTGTCGCTGCTATCATCGATGGGTACATAACATTCGATAATGTTCATTGTGATTCCCTCCTTTGTTTTGTAAGATGCTTTGGTGATCCTGGATCCACGAGACTCCCATCCTATAAGTGCACTACGTGATTCTTTGTACAGAATCAAAGTAACTCTCTGAGTATGTGAAGTATTTCCTTCTTCATGACCAAAGTGAAGTAGCATCTCTCCTGAATCTATCCTCTTCTATCTAGCTTGGGTCCCATAGGTTTCACTGATTCCGTCGAGTATCTTCTCATTTGCGTAGCTATTTGGTTGGTTATCGCGATCTCCTACATTGTTCAGACATTTAATGTACCCATATTAATTGTTGCTCTGGTTGTTAGAAGGGACATCAGTGTCGTGGCTTCCGGAGAATCTCGGCTTTCATTATGAGGCGTCATATTTATTTTGAATGAAGATCGTTCGGCTAGGAGGGTAGAGTTTTAATGGTTCAACTTGTTAGTTCTGGCCAGCGGCTTTTCAGCAAGGTTATTTTGTACAGGACGTGTTCGCTGACCTTATGCCTAGTCCTTGGGATCGGCGGTGGCTCTAGAGAGCTACAGGTGGAGTTGCTCAACAAGGAATGTTGCGCAATTTTGTTGGTATTTTCTTGAAATGAACTTTTTTATACTAAGATTCATGGATAGAATGACTGATACTCAGATGTAGTCATTCTGTTCCTGAGTACACAGTGTGCTATAAAACCAGAAGAATTAGTCATTTCATTCCATAACTAAAACTTCCTATTTTTACTAAGGTTTTCATGACCTAAATCAAAGTATATCTGGAATTTAAATGCATCTGTGAGTGTAGTTAGCGACCACTTCAATTGTGAACCTCAGATGCTTCACTGCTATTCGTGATATATTCTAGCAATATACAATTTCGCCGATTTAAAACTTTCCAGCCATCTTCATCATATCACCTCCAAGTTTAATTACTTTATCGAAAAGTCCTGTTAAAATTCAATTACCATAGTCTCATATTTCATGAGAACATATAGTACAAAACATTTCGCCTTATGAAAAGGGAAATGTTTGAGTAAATTCTTAGGTATACACACTCAGACAGTTTACCATTTTAGTAGCCAACATTCAGACTGTCACGTGGTTATATTAACTCGTTAGCTGTTTCGCTAAACTAATTAACAATTATAAAGTAAGATATGTAAACCCAGTGAAATTTTAAAACCGGTAGCTCCAAACATTAATTAATATAGTTTCTTATATCCTAGCGAACGCACACTATCTCTACATAAGCTTTAAATGTCTGGAGTCAAAGCTGAACGACTTTGGAAGACATTGAATAAAAGCTTCACGTTAATAGTTTCTGTGGACAGTTATAAGTAGAATGACTGTATTCTCTCTTTTCCATGGATAATTTCTTTAAACTATAGAAACGAAATCGACTTTTCAAAATATGTCAAATGATAATGATCTTACCAAATTATTTCTTTTAACGACGTCGCTTTCATACCCAATCCCTAGATAAATATCACCATAAACAATCAATTTGGAAGAGGCGTTCTAAAGAGGAAAACGTTATTAAGATAAGCTGTCTTACTATTTTAAGAGCGCACCGAGGGAGACTAAGCTCCTTACAAATCTTTGATAATAATGGGTCTATAATGGATTGTCGTTTGAATAAAATGGGATTTGAGTAATATATAGATCTAGATAATTATTCTGAAACAGCTATCGATGTACCGTTTTGTTATGAATTTGTCCTCTCGTACAGCTTCGTGGGCCATTTTTAAAATAACCATCAGGCGTGCTTTAATTTGAAAAGAAAGAGGAATTTCGTTAGTGAACGAGACGTCAGGTGACTAAAACGTAGTCACTCTTGATACCGTATGACTAATATGTAAGTTTTATTTTGTTCTACTAGGCTTCACATGGAAATGATGCAATTATTTCCGGCACTATCCAACAATATTACATAAGTAGAAAAAACAAGGTCTTGAAAGGGTCTATGAATGAACTTTCGTTTGCTGCACACGAAGTTTGCTGCACAAAATTGCAGTCTTCCTAATTGCTTGATTTGGGCTCAATGTGATATTTTCTTAGGATCATAGTTTTGCCTACACATTCCTTCAGGAGCTGTGAAAATCAAACAAAGTGTTGGCCTTTTGACTTCATCGTTACTTGACTTGAAGTTCTCATCTCTGGCCTAATATTGTCGTAACGTACATCAAAGGTGGACTTTGTTCCGGTTCCACAGAATCCTAAGTTTATTTTATAACAGTGATATTTTTCCTTGCTGAGTTAAATTTATAACTTTCATCATTTATTACGCATCAAGGCTATTGATTTTACTTGAATTAATTTCAGCCAAAGTAACATTTAGTGTATCTTTTTTTTCAAAAAGTACTGTACGTTTATTGGGTACATTGTTTTTTGTCTGGAACTTCTGTATGTGGCAGTTCACGATTTCACCTTTTCCAACTATCAGTTTTTGATTGAGATCATGAACCGATTGACGTTAGACCATTATTGAAAACCTGGAAGCACTGGACGCCCATTTTGTCCCATTGTGAGGCCCCTCAGCAGTCCTTATCCACGAAACGGCCGTCCAGTGCTTCCAGGTTTTCGATGGTTGTCTAACATCAATGGGTTCATGATCTCAATCAAAACTTAACAATCTCCACAACTCCTATACTGATGTCAGTTTCCGAGTCTAATTTATTTGAAAAACCCTGATTGGTGACTGGATGGTACAAGAGAAGTACTTGCCAACGCTCTAGCCGCTATCCGAAGCCATCACAGTGATGAATGCTGCTAAAAGGCGCATTGTCAAGCGCAACCGGGATCGATCTAATGGTTCTCTTTTTGTTGATACACAAATTGATTTGCAGTCATTCAAATAGGCTCAGAACCAACTCTATTTATTGTTTAAAGAAGGAGGGATTGACTTCATTGAGGTCCGTCATAAATACAAACTAATAAAACGAGGTTTCTTCTGTCTCACTCTTCCAAACGGCTTTAGGCAGGAAACACCTGAAAAGTCTAATCGCAATGCCAAGTCTGTTTTTCTAGCAAACAAAAACGACAACCTGACGCCACAAGTCATCGACGATCATTCAGTGTTCCTAACGCAACTGCAATTGCTACTGCAGTGAGAACTGATAAATGAATAAAAATTCGGAATGTAAAATGTCTTGGTGTCACTAAAGAAAAGCCAGTCTCCCTGACAGAAGTCCAGAAATGGTTGGTTGATCATATTTACAGATCATTTGTCTTCCATAAAATCAAGGAGAGTGAAAGCCCAGAACCCTTAACTCACTTTGAGCATAATGTTGGATTGATAAAAGATTTAACTAACCAGATAATCTATCAGGATATCAGTCAGGTCACCTTTCTGAAGATTTATAGACTAGGTAGACAGGCGGACTTAAAAAAAATCAAACCAGACTGATAAAAATGGCATTTAAACATCCCAATAAATGAGACTCAATACTACAGAATGCATGTAAAATAAAGGGCTCAGGATTTTTTGTCCGTGAAGGCTTACCGCTCGCCGACCGTATAGAAAGACGAGAAGCTAAAAAGGTCTAAAACCAAGGTTGGAAGCTGACGAGAAGGACCTAAGAACTGCACATGTTTTACTGATGAGGTCTCAACAGTGTATGATCCTGTAGTCCCTTAAAGTGCAGCTCAAAGCCATTTAAACGGTTTTCAAATCTGTTAAATAAATGTCTCAAGCTTACTCTTCAAAAGATTGGAGTTAGATAGACGGATAACATTTATCAAGCCAGACTCAATTGACGCCATAGAAACTTGTCCTCAGAACACGTATGAGACACAAATATGTGAACTATCGACTCGTAAGCTTAACCGAAGTGGTTATCGGGTTCTCGAAAAGATTGTTCGGAAGGACTTGTTTAGGTGTCTAGAGGATAACCCGCTTCTTTCTAATAGGCAAAATGGCCTAAGAAGAGGTTGTTCATGTCTCACAAACTTATGAGTAACTCATAAAAGTTAGTGTGCTATTGAAGATCAAAAGTTACTTACATATGTAGCTTAAATTTCCTTCAAGAAGGCTTTCGATAAGGTTTTACACAACCTCCTGTTATCAAGGTTAAGTAATATTGGTATTGGAAGACTGTCTAGTTGGGCGTCAACATGAAGTACAGGTGAACTCAACCTTGTCTATCTGGGAGACTGTGCTTAATGGAGTGCCTTAAGGTACAATTTCGGAGCCACTTTTGTTTCTCATGTTCTCAAATAACCTTAGTTTACTATCATCAGTTCTATTATATGGTGTTGATATCAGGACCTGGCGAGGGATAAAAATGAAAGTGATTGCTCCATAATGAGCTGCGGAAATTCTATGAATAGTATAAAATTTTGTGATTGCCGACAAATGCTTCCAAGTGCATTGCGATGCATATTTGTCACTGAGATACAGATAAATACACTGTAAATAAAATCGAATTGCCAGTTGTTCAAACACAATGGTTTGGGAGTCATTGTTGGCCAATACTTGAAAATTATTCAACACAGCCATGCTATGTCTTCCAAAGATTTTAAACCACATGTTCAATGTGTAGAATCTTCAGCCGTGGCTATGCTAAAACGTTTTCGACTCTATTTACAGTATCTGTTTGTCCTAAACTCAAGTAATACATACACATAGGCAGACCTTGCCTATAAAGAGGCAGTAAGCCGTTGGAAAAGGTTCACAGGACCTTAAATAAACTGATCCCTGTGATCACAAAGCTCTTGTATAAACTAGACCTACTAACCTCGTCATATAGCGTAACCGGAGGTGACTTGATCACAGTTTTGAAATGGCCTAACTATGAATTTACATCTGATATGCCATCACTTTTATTGACATCAAAGACAGGGAATTTACGAGGACACTGAAAAATGGCTTGTGGGCCACAAACGAATTAATTGTCAGTTAAATATCGACTTTCCCATCAATCATCAACAAGTAGGACTGGTTACCTAACGCGTTATTGAAGTTCCATCTGTCGACGTATTCAGAATAGAGTTATATTAACCTAAAGATTACCACTGTCGCTACTCGCAAAGACTACCCGGAATTATGTTCTTTCCAAACTAAAATCAAATATTATTACCTATATTTTGTATGTTCCCAAGCAACCAATAAAGAGGAAAATGCGTTGAAAAGTAAAGAGGAAATAATGGGGGAACGCACCAAAATGTCTGCTTTTCGCATGTCTAAAGAAAATAATGTTGATTTCTACCTTTTTGTCGCTTTGTTGGGGAAATTTTCTACTTTTCGTCTCAATATCCACCGGATCGTCTAATTTTTACCTAAATATCCGCTGAGTAATTACTCAGTTTCTGAACCTAATGCCTCAAGTAAAAAATCATAAATAATCGATTAAATTCTAATGAATTTACAGATTTTCAAAAATATTAACATGGAAATTGACTGGTAAACAAGTTTAACTCGTTTCATTACATTTTATGGTTTACTTACTAAATTCTTCTGGCTTCTTTACTAATAGCTCCAAAAAGTGTCTACAAATGTGAAACACTAAAACATACGATTCCTTAGCCTCATTTATATTTCCTGATTTCAGAAACTTCATAACTTCGTATACAATTCCCTCGATCACCGATAACACAGACATATTTTAAAACGTCAACAAGAGTTCAATTAGAAAAAGATGCTCTGAAATTCGAATACCGTCACACCAAATCACTTGTTGTATTGGATCTTTTTCTGATTTTTAGAACATAATTTTTCATCACAAAATGGTACAATTCTTCAGATTCCCATTTGTAGTAAGGACAGAAGGCCCACGGTCTATGTTATTCCTTTTCCAGTATACTTCTATGAGTGTCCAGTCTCACGAGTAGCAGCCCTCTGTACTTCTCCCAGGATATTCAAGTCACATTTTAAACAGGGGCTTGCAGCCTGAACGCAGTCCTTAAGCTTAGTTCTTACTAAGGTTGTGTATACTGTGGTGGTCATGGTAGTATCTGACTTGGTGAATGTCCGTCTTAAAGGTCAGAAGGTTCTAAGCCCCTTAGCTGCGATCCTCCAGCAATGGGCCGTCGTCTTAAGATCATGACTCACTGTCACCCCTAGATCCTTATGAGACCGGACCACGAGTACGGGTATGTCCCCTACGCTGTACCCATTAACTTTTGTATCCCGAACGTGCATATAGACACATTTTGCCGCGTTTTTAGGCATCAGCTACTCTTTAGATCAGTTAATCACATTATTTAAGTCTGCCTGAAAAGCACATGCGTCTGTGTCTCCAGTTATTACTCGCCAGATCTTTACATCGTCAGCGTATAATAAAATTGGTGACCGTAATATACTTGGGAGATCGTTTACATACATTATGAAAAGTAAGGTCTTAGGACAGAACCTTGAGGTACTCCAATAAGTATCGGCCTTCAGGTGGTGCACTTGGAATTTACTCTCACTTTCTATCTACGATCTACCAGGAAATCCTTAATCTATTTTAAAGGAGGTCCGGCATTACCAAGGTTTTCCAACTTCAATAGCAGTCTATTAGTTGTCACTTTGTCGAGAGCCATACTGTAGTCTGTGTAGACAACATCCACCGAGTTTCCGTCGTCTAGAGCCTTTATCCAAAACTCCCTTGCTATAAGCAGGTTCCTAGTATAAGATAAACCCTTTCCGAACGATTTTGTTTTATGTTTAGCAAGTTATTGGTTCTCATCAATGCCATCATTGTCCGTTTGAAAATTCTTTCCAATATTTTAACTACAACACTGGTGAGGCTAACAGGTCTGTAGTTGGGTGGAACTTGTCTTGGTCCTGTTTTATGTATGGGAGTGACGACTGCGTCCTTCCAGTCCATAGGTAACACACCATGGTCAAGTGACATATTGAATATCACAGTCAGTGAGGCCGCGATATATTGTGCAATATGTCTCAAGATTTTGGGGTGTAGTTCACCTGGTCCTGTTGACTTTTCCATGTTTAAGGTGCTAAAAGCCCTAAGCACATCGTGTTGATCGAAGTTCACAGTGAGCAGGCTGCTTTTTGACCTTGCATTTGGTTCTAGTTCTTCGTCTAGGAGAGGTTCCTGGGTGAAAACTGTCCCAAAATAGTTAGCCGTAGCCTCTGCTTTCTGCGGATCTTCCTCTATCATTTCAGGTTCACTCCCTTCTTTAATTAGGTTGGGAATTGTATGATACGTCCTTGTTCTGTAATTTATTCTCTTGGACTGCTTGAGTGAAGAATGTGCCAAATGAATTTCATATTATCTCTGAGCTTTCCGGGTTTTAATTACACACTTGTGTCTTGACGACTTGTAGCGTTCCATCTTGCTTGCTGTGCCATAACTGATGGCAACATTCCAACATTTCTTCTTTGCCTTAGTGAACGTCAAATATCCCAATCTATCCAGGATGGCTGTTCTTTTTCTTCTTCCTCCTCTTCTTGTTCTTTGGGACTGTTCAAGGTATGTATGGCTGAGTTACCCGATTGTATAACTGTCAGAAATGAATCCATGCCTCATGTACTGATGCACTTGAGTCGATTTTTCAATTTTCATTCAATACTTCGGATTCCATTACCTCCACGCCTGCTCTCCGTATGTTGGGAAGGGCCGCGCAAGAGGCCAAACCAGCCATGAATTTGAATAAGAAGACTGCATGATCGCTGCTCCCTAGAGGTAGGAGAAAAGTCGTTTGACCGACATCATCACCGTGTGTGAAGACCAAGTTCAAGAGAGACGGGGAGCTTCGTAAGTCCATATCCGGTGGGATCTCTAATGTGTTGGAATGAAACTAGTTCACTTGGGGTTTCTAATAATTTGCAGTCGAATGACGTTATCGGTGGCCCTACTTCTTAGTTAATCCAGTCGGTATACAGTGCACCAAAGTCGTCCACTATAAGCCTTTTATCCCTATTACATCGTGACTTAAGTTTGCTGAGGAGGAAGTCATCTACTACACATTCAGAACTTCGATATACTACAATTAATTCAATATCCTGCAGTTTATATTTCAGTCTTAACTCTTTAGTACTTTGAGAAGAGTCAACGTATGACATGGATAATAAATTTAATCCATGTGCTTCAGGGAAACTCCGCTTGGAGACCCTTCAGGGACTACCGCCGGCCTCAAGCATGGATAAGGGAGGAGGGTTGGGCATGGGGTCAGCGACACCATAATGTGCTTCAGAGCACGCGTCACGTATCTTCCAGTGTGATTATTTCTTATCTATGAACTACACATTTTCTTTCTTTTCGGGGTCTAGTAGTAGGTTGTTCGGCAAAGGATGGTGAAATCACATGACAAAATATCATTTTACATGAAGTAACTCCCTTGTAGTCATCTCTGGGCAATGAGAATCGTTATTACTTGTTTAGTGTGCTCACAAAACTGAATTACTAGTATGTCACTTACTTAAAAGGAAAGGGTAATGGAAATAACAATAAACATTAACAAGCATGTCTTCTCTGTGACCTGTGTTAGTCCTGGCAACGGTGGTCTCTCAGTTGATCCAACTTTCTTTTGAAAGAGCCGACAGATGGACTTCCGATTAAGCATTGAGGTGATGAATTCCATTCGTTGATGATTCGGCTGGAAATTCAATATTCAGCTGACAAGACATGCGAAGGCTAGGTGACCTGTGTTAGTGCCTTAGTGTATGCTCATAAGAACTTGATCAAATACGACAATAAGCAAAAGAATTTGAAAGAAGAGTGAAAGATGCATTACGAAAAACTGAAGTGACAGCATGTGAATGATGAAACGGTAAGAATAGTACCTAAGCTAAGTCTTATATTGAGTGACAAAATCATAACAACAATTATGCAATCAATATTATTTAAAGTTTCTTTTTGGCTAGCCACCACAAATAGATTTCGCTAGCTAATATAATGTGCTCCTTCCCGGCTTATAGTGACAGCGTGAATAGAAATATGAATTTATTAGTTTATTTATAGGCAATCCAAATCAACTGTCTCACTTGTAGTGGCGCGGCCTAAACTAATATGTACTCTTCGTACGAAAGCAGTGGCCAACAAAGCAGAATAGGGAATGACGTAAGGAGTGTCCGTTTGACAGCCAAGACAAAAGAAAGAATTTATTAATTATGAATAAAGTTTATTCGCAGCCGATACAATCGAATAAAAGATGTTGAATGTAAGTGTGACTACTTATACAACGTCACACAATGTGATCTGAAACCGTATTTTATCACAAATAAAAATAATAAACCTACGCATTACCATAGTATCCAGATACTTCAGAAACTTTCTCCGTTCTGTATTTTCGAAAGTAAATAATCCTTTCACCTTAAAATGAGACTCAGCCGGCGAACACCACTTCAATCGTGTCCTGGACCGTCAAACGACACATTCGAGAGGAGAATAGGCACTCATAAAAGCTATCTCGAAAAGTGTTAGTACGGGTTGTCAGCTGTTTGTTTTCACAACAAAAAAATGATCTGGAGCAAGCTTATTAGAAGAACTTATTTGAGATAAAACAGCACTCAAAGCTGATAACGATATACTAGGACAAATGTTAGTGCTATCGATCGAGGTGGTTCAATGACACTAGCAATAAAACGGTCTCTTAGGTGACAAAATGATGACGACTGTTATGCAGTGGATGCTACTTGGAAGGGCCTTCTGAGATAACCACGACAAATTGGACTCGTTCAATTAACAAATGACCTATTCAAATTAGATGGGAAGAGCGTTGCTAACTAGCAAACGTTGTGGTCATATCTTAAGGTTAGCACTTAACGTGAACTACCATTTCGTCGTACAGGTATTATGACTACCTTGAAGACCGTAATCCACAAACTACGTTGTTACTGTAATGTATTATTGAGAGTACTTGTAAAAATCAGAGTGCGACCACTGTGTGATTCGTTGATGTACGTTGGTTTTCTTTGACCTTGATGGAAACCGATAAACCGTTTGAAATTCGGTGATCTGATTGCCAGGTGATTTCGCCGGTTTAAGTTACACTTCTGAAGACGGTAATATACTACCATTTGGGATTGAAATCAAGTGTGCCGAGGATTTCCGAAAATTGGCTACGTCGAATCCGTCCCACAGAATTGAAGCTGCAGTTGATCTACGATGGTCTAAGCTTGTTCAAAAGCTCTAACCAACAGTTGTTGCTGATCTTAGGTCGCATAACAGATCCATTAGTTAATCATGTATTAACAGTTTGGATTTACGGTGAAGCAGGACCATCTGATTTCAACGATATGTCCGCAGCACAGGCATGCAAACATCATTCTGTGTGCATTTCATGTAATTCACGGTAATGTGCCGTAAAAGGCACGCTCCCACATTGTTTTGCGTGGCATCCAGAAACGTGATAGGTACTGGCCTATCACTATGTCTCTCCGGTTTATTATTCTGTAATATTGATTAAATCTAGTGAATAAATACATTAATAAAATTACCATCCAACCGTTTCCCAGTTACCGATCGAATCAATTAGGTTCTCAGTATTTTGTCTAAGGGCGCGAATTACATGAAATGCGCACAGAATGGTGCTTGCATGCTTATGTGTTATACGGACAGCCGCGCCTTCAGATCGTGCGCAATCCATCACAAATGTTTCTGTCACTGTTGTGTTTCCCATTATCTCTTTGAATTTATCTAAAATCCATGTCACG